GGGAGTGATTAATGCTTTGGAGAACAGAATTAAAAGTCACAAAGATTTCCAGAGGTTGAAAGATGGGCCGGGCCGGGCACGGCTCAGCAGTTGAGCATTGACCTAGGATCCAGGAGATCGGGGTTCGATTCCCTGTCAGAGCACATGCCAGGGTTGCGGGCTGCAGCAGATCAGTGACTCTCTCATCATTGATGTTTCTATCTCTCTCTCTCCCCCTCCTTTCCTCTCTCTGAAATCAATAAAGATATGTTTGAAGAAAAAAAAAAAGAAAGATGGGAGGAAAACAAGAGGAAATTGAATAGGAATTCATTCAGTTAAAAAATACTTACTGAGCACCTGCTTGCCAGGCACTGCTCTAAGTGCAGAGCATACAGAAGTGAGGAAAGAGACAAAGTCTTTCCCTCATGGATCTCACATTCTAGTGCAGGGAGGCTGACAAACGAAATGAGCTAGTAGAGCACATGGTATATTTGGAAGCGATAGGTGCTAAGTGGAAAGCAAGCAAGCAGGGAAGGGGATAAGAAAGTGTCAGAGGAGGGATGGCCTCAGTGTTGCAATTTTGGTTTAGGGCAGCCAGGGAGGGTGACTTTTAGCTATGTGGATATCCAGGGAGGAGAATTCCCAGAAGAGGAAACAACTAGTGCAAAGGCCCTGAGGCAGAAGTGTTCCTGGAATGTTTGAGAATAAATTAAGGGATAAACTAGGTTAGGCCTCTTTCATGCCCTATACTTTTTTTCTTATCATAATTGCAATTAAGTACTTGTCTAATTACCTTTTCAGTGCCTGTTTCTCTACTAGATTCTAAGCTTTTTTGATGCTGGGACTGGGCCTTGCTCTCTGCTAAATTCCTAACTCTCAGCACAAGCCCAGGCACATAGTAGGTGCTCAACCATATTTTGTTGAGCAAATGAATAAATGTGAATATTTGACTTTTGGGTCAAAAACTCTACTGCACTAACAGAACAGACTTGAGAGCAATTAGAGAGAAAGAGGCTGGAGACTTGTAGCGGTGGCCAGGGGAAACTTAGGGGGATGCAATGAGAGAAGGGGGCTCTGGGAGCTACAAGGAGCTGCGCTGGCTAGGGGCTTTCTCGAAGGTGGGAGCAGGTGGGCAGGGATTGCAGAGCATGAGGTGTGGGTGAGTGTGGTTAACGTAGAGCAGGAATAGAACCCATAGATAGAACCCAATAGATAGAACCCATTAGATCCGTTGCATTGCCAGGTTTAATGTTAAGTCCAGGGTTTGAGCCGTTTGCACCTCTGCTGCTGCATAGATTGGGATCCCTTGCGTGCTTTGGTGCACAGGAAGAGCTTACTCAGCCTGTGAGGGACCGAGCATTCAAATCTCCAAACAATTTGGTTTCCCCATCACCGCTTGATTTCTTTTCTACTAGGGGAAAACATATGTTACAGCAGCATATGAGAACCTGGGGATTCAAGAAGGCCCCTGCACCAAGTAAGAATTCTCTTCTTCTTCTTCTTTTTTTTTTTTATCGGTTTCCAAGAGCATGTATTACACAGGTCTGAGTGCAAGAAATGGCAGACAATGGCTATGTTTGCTTTAATAGCTCATCGGTTGCCAATGCCAAGTCCTGCTGCTTGTGACGGTCTCCTGGGTCTCGGCCCCTCTGGAGCAGGCTGGGCCCTGGCTCGTGGGTGAGGGGGCAGCTTCTGCTTGGAACGTTCATGCCTCCTGTTACCTGAGGCATCAGGCACTTTGGTGATGCCCAGGGCTGGCTCTCCTTTCTCTATTTGTGCACACTCAGGCTCCCATCGCCAGCTTTGGCTGGAAAGCTCACAAGGTTGGTGGGCCAGCCCAGGGGCATTGGGTGGCCATGACTTCCCCTCCTGCCCTCTCCTGCTCCTCTGAGGGGCGGATCCTGGCCCACTTCTGTGTGAGAATTCTCTTCTTAAAACAAATGCTTACTGATGCTCAGTGTGTGCCAGACCCTGAGCTGGATAGACTGGTGGACAAGACAGACAAGGTGGAGTACTGGTCAAAGGTTTAGTGGGCTGCCCTCTGGGGCAGTGATCTGAGCTGATTGGGGTCCTGGCTCCAGCCTGATCAGCTGTGTGGATGGTCTTCAGCAAGTTCCTCAGACCCCAGAGCAATGGGTCAAAGCTGGTTTAGAGGCCATCTGGTGCAATCTCTTAGGTTACCCAAGGGTGCTGTCTCTGCTCCCCACCCTACACCCTATGGAACCTCAGAATCTTTAAGTGTAAAATGAAGACATCGGACCTTGAAGCTAGCTTGGGCTCTAATATCTGATAATATTGCAAATATGGGGAAGTTCCAAGGAGGTGAATTTGACCCCATCCCAAGTGTGAGCTCTGTTTTTCACCTTCTAATACTGGGGTGGGGTGGGGTTGGGAGGGGTGGTAAGGCCCAGCCCATGGAGATCTTTCTCAAGCATATTTGTGGGGCCCAGAAGAAAGGCACCTGGCCCTCTTTGTCTCTGCAAAGTGGCCCCACGGGTTAGGGTTTGGAGGTGGGTCCTCACTATGATTCAACTCACTTCCTGGGTCCTGGTTCTAGATGGCTCGTCTCCTCCCTGCCTCCCTCTCCTTGGTGCATCTGAGTCCCCTACTTGGGTCTTTTCTCTCAATCTCTTCTTCAGTCCCTTGATCTCCTTTGTTCTCCCCACTGGAGGCCTGGCCTCTTAAGCCCCTGAGGTCATCTGTTGTTCAGTTTCATTTAGGGGAAGGAAGAGGGGGCTTCTAACCTTCTGGAGGGCGGGGAGACTTGCTCCCCCTGTCTGGCTGGGGGAGGGGTGAGGTATCTCTGGGACGGTTTGTGCTGCTAGGACTGACTTCCTCATGTCTTCGTCTTGAGTGTTTAGTATGCTGAGTCTCTGTTTGACCTTGCTTTGAGTTGCATTACCAAAGGCCCCAGTGTCCTGGCTTCAGGGTGTGCCAGGCCTTAGAAAAGGGGGTTGGGTAGGGAGAAATAACTCTCTGGTCATGTAAAGAAGAAATTTTAGAAATTTCTAAATATTGGAGCTGCCCAATACTGCTCACCAACAGTGGAAGAGCCTCAGTGGTGGTGGTGGGGGGCTGGATGCCTCCTTCCAGGGGTCCTGCACCGGGGGAGGCCTGCTCAATGCTAGATGCACCCCAGGGCTCCTCCGCTTAGCAGACTCTCAGGGCAGGGACAGTATCTAACCTGCGAAGAACCCCAAAGCTCCTGCTCCTACTCCCAGTCCCCCAAGGGAGTATGTTTCTAAACACACATTTTATTTCATAGCCTAGATGCCTCTGATTTGTAACCTGATGATGCAGTGCTTGACTCAGGTGGATGGGCCTGGCACTGGGCGATTGTGGAAGGGACACAGGCTGGGCTCAGAAATGCTCCATTGCCTATGATCCTGGATGGAGACGCCTGGTTTGAGTGGGGTGGAGCCTCCTGGATGACTGCTGGGTTGGGCAAGAGGAGGGACTTGGACACCCTGTTTTTCTGTTTCATTTCCAAACCCTGAAGTGTCTTTTAGTCAATACTGGTGGTAACACCTTTATTAACCTCCTGGCTTCTCAGTGCTGCAAAGTGCCGTCCTTCTCCCGCTCTCGTACGTAGATTTTGCCTTGAGAAGCTTGCTCCCCTCTAACATCTGCAAGGCACTTGGGTGCTCTGTCCAAACCCCCTCCATCCTCCTTTTCCCTCGAATGTCCTTCCTGATCTTCCCTTCTTCCCCGCCTCCTCCAGGAAGCCTTCCTTGAATGACCCTCAGTGCTCCCCGTCCCCAGCACTGATGTCCAGGGCTCTGGCTACTTCCTTGACCTGGGGACGTCCCTAACTCTTCCGCAGCCCCGGAGCTCCGAGGGCAGGTCTGGGTCTCATTCCTTGGTCTCTGCACGTGCTGGGCACTTATTACCCAGGTGTGTCAGAACAGGTCAGTGTGACAGACACAGTCAGACCAAGAGCATCTTGCTCTCCAAGGCCCAGCCCAGGCACGGGAGGGGATAAAAGTCTTGTGCCGCCTCAGGGCAGGAACTCACACACCTTGACTCTCCTTTGCCTGTCTGCAGCTGCGACTGTGGGTCTCTGCCATGTCTCTCTCCCCCTGCCGGGCCCAGAGGGGCTTCAGTGCTCGCTCAGCTTGTTTTGCTCGCTCCAGTGGCCAAGGCAGGGCTAGCTTCAGCAGCAGGAGCCTCAGTTCCTTCGGGGGATGCCGAGGAGGCTCTCGTGGAATGGCCTGGGGGTCAGGGGGAAGGCTAAGGGTGCTGTTTGGGGAGGGGAGTGGTGGGCCTGGGCTTTCCCTGTGCCCTCCGGGGGGCATCCAGGAAGTGACCATCAACCAGGATCTGCTGACCCCATTGAAGATTGAGATCGACCCCCAGTTCCAAGTGGTGAGGACTCAGGAGACCCGAGAGATCAGAACCCTCAACAACCAGTTTGCTTCCTTCATTGACAAGGTGAGGGGTCAGCTCAGCTAAACCCCTGTCTCAGTGCATCCCTTGGAGGAAATTGACGGACTTGGGAATGGGTAAATCTGGTCTATTACTTTTTAAATTTACTTCTGCAGCAAAGAAGTCCCTCTTTGGTCTAACTGGAGTCTCTCTGGTTATGCTGAGGCCCTGCGGTTCTAGGGTTGGGACTCAGCAGCAGAAAACTGCCAGCCAGCAGTGGGGAGAGCCTTCTCCATTAGTCATTCTGATCATTTTGATGTGCTCAGAGTCTCATGGAAGGGCATGAGGCTGCCCCTGCCCAGGCCGGGGTGGGAGGCAGGGGAAAGGTGGGTAGATTAGGGGCTTCACTTCCCAGAGGCTGTGCCCAGGGAGTCCCACAAGGGCCTCAGGGACCCTCTGCTTATGCTGCAGGTGCGGTTCCTAGAGCAGCAGAACAAGGTCCTGGAGACCAAGTGGCACTTGCTGCAGCAGCTGGGAGTGAGTGACAGCCCTCAGGGCCTGGAGTCTTTATTTGAGAAGTACCTGGCCCAGCTCAGGAAGCAGCTGGAGGAGGTCCAGAGACAACGAGGGGCTCTGGACACCGAGCTTAAGTCTTGCCAGGACCAGGAGGAGGAGTACAAGACCAAGTAGGTGGACTGACGTTCCCCATGGGGCCTGGGTGGGGTCTAGGAGGACTGGATTGGCACTGTCATCTGAGTACCCTCCCCCACTGGGCTTCCCTCAGGCCCCTCTGCATCTTACTCCCTCTGACTCTCAGAATACCCCACCTGCTGCAGGTAAGGAGCCCTTCCGCCCTTGCTGCTCAGCTCTGGAGAGCCAACAGGCTCCAGCTCCCAGGCCCAGGTTTCTGGTCAGCGCTGGGAGGGGCTTATTTAAACAGTGCTTCAGTGGTTTTTTTCCTTGAGAAATTCCTGTTAAGCAGGCTGTGGGCTAAAGTGACTCAGATGTTCTCTGGTCTCAGGGTGGAAAGGGAATTTATTTTGTGGGACCATCCCCAAGCCCGTGGCATGATTCACAGGCTGCAGTTCTGGGTTCCCCACCTAAGTCACCTGGTGTGTAGAGAGAGCCTTGGACTAACAGGAGGCTTGGGTTCAGTGCCTGTGAGCAAAGGGCAGCTGTGTGGCCTTGAGCAAGGCTTTACTTCACCAGCCTCAGTTTCTGTATCTGAAAACTAGGTGTCACCTGCCCTTCTTACCTCCCAGGGCTGTTGGGAGGGTGGGACGTGAGGTGGAAGGAGCCCAAGATTGGGGCCAGGAGACCTAGGCATTAGGTCTGCTTGGCCACCTAGTCATCTATGACTTGGGCAAGTTGTATGACCTTACGGATAAAATCCAAACTGCCTGCCTTAGGTGATGATGGCAAGTCATAAGTGAGAAAAGGTGTTTGAATGTGCCTGGTAAATGGAAATAGAGTGGCCTTATGTCATTAAGGGGAAGGGGGCTGAAAGAGTAGAGAGGGACATAGCACATACTTCCTGATAGGAAAGGTAGAGACACAGGCTGGTTGTGTGTCCTGCTGTGGAGCATGTAAAGGCAAGAGCGGCCTTTTCAAGGAGATCGTGCTTGGAGGAGGCACATCAGCTCTGATCTCAGCACCTCAGGCAGCATCTCTCTCTCTGTTTTTACCTGGCAGGTATGAACAGGAGGCCCACAAGCGGGCCACAGTCGAGAATGACTTTGTGGTTTTCAAAAAGGTGAGGGTGGGTGTCAGCTGCTCCACTTGGATCCTGAGTACTCACAGTGCGCAGAGCCCAGTGCTGGGCTGGGAGGGCAAAGGGCGGGAGATCCTCATGAAGGATACGCTATCATAGTGCCTGCAGGGGTCCCCCAGGGAAATGGGGCATCTACCTAGACATAGGGACCCCAAGACAAGATCCAACTGAAGGATCATGTGATGAGTTTTGGGTGTCACTGTGGGAGAGGGTGGGGAGGGAGTAGGAGAAGTAGAACTGGTTGGGATTAATCAGGGAAGGCTTCCTGAAGGTGGTGTGGATCAATGTTAGATAAAAGAGTGAGCAGGGCAGGGCAGGGCTGGAGGAGAAAGAAGCGGGTGTCTGGAGATGGCCGTGGGTGGCTGTTGGGCAGTGTGTGAAGAGAACTCCTGAGCCAGAGTGGGGCCCACAGGGAGGAATTAGGGGATACATGGTTTCTGTCTCCCTGTCCCTAGGATGTGGACGAGGTTTTCCTGAGCAAGATGGAGTTGGAAGGCAAGCTGGAGGCTCTGAGAGAGTACATCTGCTTCTTGAGGCGTCTGTATGAAGAAGTGAGGATCTGCCAATGGCAGAAATGGTGGCCTCCAAGGGCAGGTGGTAGGGAGGGGAGGGAACAGGGTGGGCAGGCTCCCTATGGCTACTGTGGGAGTGGCCAGGAGGTGAAGCCAGGTTAGGGTGACTTAGATTCCGGTCATTCGGTCATTTGACAAACAATTACTGAGAATTTACTATGCGGATTGCTAGGTTCTGGGGACACACCAGTAAATAACCCGACAAAAGTCATGAAGCTTGCTTTCTATTGGGAGACGGACAATAAGTGATAGACTTAGTAAATAAGTAAGTAAGTATGTTAGAAGGCGATAAATACCAGGGAAAAAAAGAAAATTAGAACCGGGAAAGGAGGATTGGGAATATGGGGGGTAGGGCAGATGGCAATTTCAAGTAGGGTGGTCAGGGTGGCCTTATTTAGAAGATAAAATTTGAGCAAAGGCTTGAAGGAGGTGAGGAAGTTAGCCACGCAGGTGGGAATCAGGGATCCAGGGCAAGGGAGTGGCCCCCTACCCTGTGTGTTGGTGTCTGAGGAAATGCAGGGAGGCTGTGTGGCTGGAGCAGTAGGAGCTAGAGGGACGACAGGGAAATAAGAGGTCAGGGGAGTGATGGGGACCAGGTAATTTCAGGCCTTGCAGGACATTTTCCTTTGAATTCCAAGCTGCAAGCCCTGGCAGGGTAGGTTAGTTAGTTAGAGTGTTGTCCCTATACACCAAGGTTGCAGGTTAGATCCCCAGTCAGGGCACATACAAGAACTGAACAATGAGTGCATGGGTGGGTGGAACAGCAGGCCAATGTTTCTCTCTTCCTCTCTCTCTCTGAGATCAAGAAATATAAAAAAGTTCCAAGCTGCAAGAGTCATTGGAGACCACCTCCTACAGATTCATTTCATAGGTGGAGACAGCCCCACTGAAGGCAGAGAGCGCTCATTGCCACCCGCGTGAATGGGGGCTGCCCCCTGATGGAGTGCGAGTAGAAAGTCAGGCCTCTTGCTCACCTTTCCCAGGGCTCCAAGGTGAAACGGATCTGGGGGCAGGTGGACACTGAGTCACTCTTCCCTGCAGGAGCTGGGCCAGCTGCAGACGCAGGCCAGCGACATGTCCGTGGTGCTGTCCATGGATAACAACCGCTGCCTGGACTTCAGTGATGTTATCGCCGAGGTCCGTGCCCGGTATGAGGAGATCGCCCAGACCAGCAAAGCCGAGGCTGAGATGCTGTACCAGACCAAGGTGCTGGGGCCAGGGGCAGCACCATGCTGGAAAAGACTGGGTCCTCATGCCCACATCCCAGGGTGGTTGTCCACCTCGGTCCCATTGGGCAGTTCTGATGACCTCCCTGAAGCTCCAGGGCTGGGTGGGCATGACCATTTCCCTTCTCCATGAGGGAGGCAATGCAGGAAACCCATGGGAGAGGAGCCTGGACTTCTGCATGCGCACCCCACCATGTTCTGGTCTCAGTGTGAAACCCACATTCCAAATGAGGATGTGAGGAAGCAAAGAGTGGGGGACATGGGTCTTGGCATCAAAGGTGAGGGTCCTCTCAACTCATGGTGTCACCTCTGTCCCCCCTCAGTACCAGGAGCTTCAGGCATCTGCCCAGCTCCATGGGGACAGCATGAAGGAAACCAAAATCCAGATCTCTCAGCTGCAGCAGGCAATTCAGAGACTGCAGAGCCAGATTGAGAACCTCAAGAAGCAGGTGAGGGTCCCAGAGCTCCCCGAGCCCTGTCTCTTACTGCCTTTGCTCCAGGGTTGGTGTGAATCTTTGTAACTGGCTGAACTTTAAGTAATTTGGGGTAGAGAGAACCTGCAGCCCCATTTAAGAGGACTTCAACTTTCCTCCTGTGAATTCTAGCCGATGGGCTCTGCATTGAACAACTCCAGGTGGCTCTGCTCCTGCTGAGCTCCATGTCCAGGTGTACATCTTGCTTTCAGTTCCTTGGGGAGAAGGTTAATTTATCTCTTTTCTTATCTCTTCTTTTGACTTTGACACCTCAAGCCCAGCAGGGACTCTAAGGCCATGCACTGAATTTCCTGGTCCCCTGTTGGGGAGAGTGAGAGTCAGGACCTCAGGGAACAGGCGACATGAGCAGTAGAGTGGGGGCTGAGCCCTCCTTAGGAGGTGACGCTGTTGGTGCCTGGTATGGGATGAAGTGGGGAGGTGGAGGGAGAGGATGGCAAGCTGCAGGGAGATGGTTTCCTATTCCTCCTGGACACTTCATTTCTAGTTGTGAAAGATTTCAATTCTTAAGTTTTCAAGTGGCTTTGTACTCACTTTCCTCACATCTGAAGAATCTGTTTTGGGATCAGCAGAGCACTGAGAGCTGAGACCACAGAGTCAGGTGGTTTCCTCAAGCACTTCAGCTCGATTCCCAGCTCACACATGACCCATCCACTCCCAGCAGGGCCCTCACGGGAAAGTCCTTAGAGCACAGATCATTCAAAGCCCAGACTCAGACTCCAACATGCCCTTCTTTGTAGTGTGATGCAGGACTCGTTACTTAATTTGCTGCCACAGTGTTTTTGCCCATAAGTCTGGATTCTTTGCTTTGGAATTCCCTGGGTTGTCTGTTTAGATAGACTCCTGGGCCTCCTGCCAGACAGAGGGGACCAGGGTTTCTAAAGGTGGAGCCCAGAACCCTGCTTTCTAAACTAAATTCACCCAGGTGACTATGTGGAGTCTCAAAGCCCAGCTGTCAGTACTTAGGAGTGGTACTATGTCCCTAAATCTGGGAACCACAGTTCCTCCCAAAAAGTCTTCCTGCAAGAACCCCTTGGGGATATGACCCACCATTAGTCCTCTTCATGCACAAGCCTGATGAATAGGGCCCCCCTGTGCCAGGCCCTGGGCAGAGCCCTGCGGGTTATAGTTAGAATGCTGGACCAGACATCAGCTGTGGTGAGCTAGGCGGGATTCCAGCTCTGCCACTCACCTTTCTGAGCCTTAGTTTCCTCATCCATAGAATGGAGATGATGTTCCCCATCCGCAGGGTGCTTGTGTGGGAATAGAATAATGAGAGCCTTTAGGGAATGCCTTCTTTCCAGAACCAAACGTGAGGGCCAATCAGCTGGATGGCCAGTTAGACAGGGATCTTGTCCTTCATCTATGAGTTTTCTGTGGGATCAGAGAGGTAAGTACAGAGAGTGTATTTTTCAAACCCCAAATGGAGGCACATGGTTTGATAAACTGAAAACAGAACAAAATATTGAAATGGAGCTGTTCTAAAAAAAATATCAAGATCCGTGGTGGTCAGCAAGATGAGACTTGTAGATAGTGAACTGAACAGGGCTGGGGGTGGGAAGAAATAGGAGAGATCACTTGAGGAGATGGCAAAGGGTGGATTAGTTTCTTGTGGCTGCTGTAACAATGTACCATGAAGTTGGTGGCTTGAAACAACAGAAACTTATTCTCTCATCTGGAGGTTAGATGTCTGAAATCAGATGTCAGCAGGGCCTTACTTCTCCCTGAAGGAGCCAGCTGGGAATCCTTGGCCTCTTCCTGGCTTCTGGTAGCTCCGGCAATTCCTTGACATTCCTTGTTCTGTCCCCGCATCATTCGGATCTCAGCCTCTGTCTTCATGTGGTGTCTTCTCTCTGTGTCTGTGTCTGTGTCTGTGTCTGTGTCTGTGTCTGTGTCTGTGTCTGTGTCTGTGTCTGTGTCTGTGTCTGTGTCTGTGTCTGTGCCAGTGTCCTCTCATCTTTTTCTAGGAACACCAGTCATTAGATTTAAGACTCATCTTAAATACAATATGATATCATCTTGAGGTCCTTAACTAATTACATCTGCAAAAAGCCCTATTTCCCCCTGGCCGGGCATGGCTCAGTGGTTGAGCATCAACCTAGGATCCAGGAGATCGCAGTTCCATACCGGGTCAGGGTACATGCCTGGGTTGTGGGCTCGATTCCCTAGTCAGGGACATGCAGGAGGCAACCGATCAATGATGACTCTCCCATCGTTGATGTTTCAACTCTCTCCCTCTCTCCTCCTTTCTCTGAATCAATAAAGACATATTTTAAAAATAAATAAATAA